AGGCGGGAGGCGGCCGACCCTCCGCTGCGACTACTGCTGTTGCTGTTGCTGCTACTGCGGCTGCTGCTGCTGCTGGTGGTCAAGCTGTGGCGCCGATTGCTGCCCCCCGCTGGGGATGTTGCTCCGAGACACCAGCTCCAGCCCTCTCGTCAGTACTACTGCCAGCAGATGAACCACCTCCACCCCCTCCTCCACTACCACCGCCGCGCCCAGCCTTGGGGCGGCGGGCCTTACCATAACGGGAATGCGTTGCGGCCACTGTGGCAGTGGTCTCAGTAGTAGGGCTGTCTTAGCTGTAGCTGCAGAACCGTCAGTGTAAGTGCACTCAACAGGAGCACAACCCTGAAAGATATGGACTGGCGCAGTACTGTTAGACTAGGCGATAGAGCGCTGACGGGTCTCTATGGCAGACAGGGTGTCAACAAAGTCAGAGAGGGTGAGGTCAGAGGGGTGCAGACTCAGAAAGTGGTCGCGGGAAGTGGCAAGGTGGTCAGGGAGGCGGATGGCAAGCAGATAAAGGGTAGAGCAGATAGGGGGCTAGAACATACGAAGCTGGGCCTCAGTGCAGTATGCGCGCCAGCTCGCGTCGAGCGTGCGCAGGTGCGTGGCCAGGTCAGCGACAGTGGAGAAGATGCAAGATCAGGGAAGAGCATAGGAAGATCAGGCGGCCGGAAGAGGGAGAGAACGGGATGGAATAACGCTCGACATCAGCCTCTAGGAACTCTTGCGCAGTCCTGACCAACATAAAGTGGGGGGCGCTCAGATAGGGGGAGAGCATGGCTTATCACGAGCTGAGCGACAGCGTCACGCGACAGCTAGACAGTACGGGCGACGGAAGCATGGGGAGCAGGCCCGGGAAGGGAACCGCCTCTGTTACCATGTTAAAAGACTAGCTAGGAAGGAAGGGCGGCCATGAAATGGCGTGAGGGTTTAGGAGCTAGGAGCTAGGAAAGTAAATTTTGACGAGAGAAAAAGAGCGTGAACTAGAAAGAGAGAGGGATACAAGGAGGGGATTGTACCCTCTACAGTAGAGTTTGATAACCTACAAAGCCTACGAATTATATACCGTAAAAGCCCAGATAGAAGACCCCCTAGTAATAGACGACCCAGGGTCTTGTATTAGGCATCTATCTTGTATTCGGAATTCCCGTTTATAAGTGACCCTCAAGGCGGTATGAGATAAGACCCTCCCTTCTTTAGTGTTTTTTATTTCCGCAAAGCAAGAACTGGGTCTCGCAGAAATGAGTTTTATTTACTGAGACGATGAACGGTTGGGATGAAGCCCGATCGGGGTATTGTTGCAGGCATTCTCATCTTCATCACACGTGTTTTACCGTCACGATTGACTTCCGCAATTTTTCCCCATTCCGCTGAATTCTCGTTATCAAATGATTCGATATGTTTTGGTTCACCTCTCGGGCCGTTTTTCCGGTGAACTTATGAGGGTTCCATTTACAAGACACTCAAAATGCCCCATTTTTTTCTCCGTTTATAAGATAAAATGCAGTTTTCAATGGTGTTATGTGATAAGACCCATAGGTCTTATATCCGGGCTTTTACGGTAACACAATATATAATTTAACAACAAGGCCACGGGCGGCTAGGCGCGAGGTGACGGGGCCGCCGGGCCAGCGGGGCGGCTAGGCGCTAGGTGATGGGGCGACGGGGCCACGGGCGGCTAGGCGCTAGGTGACGGGGCCGCGGGGCCAGCGGGGCGGCTAGGTGCTAGGTGGTGGGGCAACGGGGCCACGGGCAGCTAGGCGCTAGGGAATGGGGCCGCGGGGCCAGCAGGCGCTAGGAGACGGGACCGACGGGCCAGCTAGGCAACGGGGCAGCGGAGCAAGCGGGGCGGCTATGCGCTATGCGTCGGGGCCGGCTAAGACCTAAGGCAGAAGCGCGAGTGGGCGGGGGGACCCAAACCTACTCATGATACCATCTCAGAGTTAGAATTATTGAGTAGAATGGGAGTATACAAGGGTATAGCTAGTAGGCTGTACTCTCTATGGCATGACCCTATGTAGTCTACTAAACATACACACATATGTTTGACACGAGGGGCCGGCTGGGCGCGAGGTGCTGGCTAGGCGAGAGGGGCCGGCTAGGCGCGAGGGGCCGACTAGGCGCGTGGGGCCGGTTACGGCGTGACACGGGCCGGCTGGGCGCAAGAGGCCAGCTGGGCGCGAAAGGCCGGCATGGCGCGCAAGGGACAACAGGCACCCTAGGGGCCGGCGGACGCGCTAGGGGCCGGCGGGGCGCGGTAGGCTGGGGCGCGGGGTGGAAGCGGGTGGGTGGACCTTGTTAAATTATATATGTTAGTATATAATTGAAGGCTTGGTAGGCTTACTGAACTTTACTGTGGAGGGTACAACACCCCTCCTTGTATCCCTCTCTCTTCTATTCTGATCCACTTTTCTCTCCTCAACTTTTATCCTTCCTAAACCTCACGCCACTCCATGGCTCCTCCTAGCTAAACCTCATGCATTTCCTAGCTTCCTAGCTTAGCTAGCCTTCTAACAGACCTAACCTACTCATGATACCATATCAGAATACTAGAATGAATAGAAGAAAGAGAGAACTATTAATTGTATATTTTGTTATATAATTTGTAGGCTTGGTATGTGTTACTAAAACCTACTGTAGAGGGTACAACCCCCCTCCTTGTATGTGCCTCTCTTCTATTCTTGACCCCTTTTCTCTCATCAACTTTCCTAGCCTGAAACCTCTCACCATTTCTAGGGCTTCCCTCCTACCTAGATCCTAGCTTACTTTAACAAGAACAAGGGAAATATAGGGTTTGGGTTGTACTTTCTAAGACCACACACCTATTCTAGCCTAGGGGGTGTGTCAAAATACAGCATATATATACGTATATGTGTGTCTTACAGGCCAAATAGTATGTCAACTTACACATATGTTCTATGTAGAAGTTATAGGCTAGACTAGGTGTGTGCTTCTAGTGAGTACAACCCAACAGGTATATGTTCTAGGTTTCTCCTTCTAGTAATCATTCACGTATATGTGTGTCTTACAGGCTAGATAGTGTGTCAACTTATACATATGTTCTATGTTCTTCCAGACCTTCGCCCCGACCCCGAAGATGACCACTCTTCGGGCGCTGCTACACGTAGCAGAAAAGCGCGACTACGAGCTTCACTCCCTCGACTTTTCTACTGCCTTTCTTCAGGGCAGCCTACACGAGCAGGTCTACCTGCGTCGACCTCAGGGCTTCACTGGTACCTTACCCTCTGGGACCCAGTGGCTTCACCGGCGCCCGGTCTACGGCCTGCGTCAGGCTCCTCGTGAGTGGAACGACACGCTGCGTGCCACGTTAGAAGACCTACAGTTCTTTCCATCCTCTGCTGACCCCTCGCTGTTTGTGCGTTCCGGCCAGACTCCGTTCTACATCCTTGTCTATGTAGACGACCTGGTCTTTGCTACTGCTGACAGGGACGCACTGGCCTCTGTGAAGGCCGAGCTGCTGAAGAGACACACCTGCACTGACCTTGGAGAGCTGCGTCGCTATCTTGGCTTGCAGATCTCGAGGGACAGAGCACCACGCACCATCACTCTGACACAGTCACACTTGGTGCGTCAGGTCCTTCAGAGGTTCGGTCTTCAGTTCTCCTCCGCACAGCCCACACCTCTACCTGTAGACCATGGGCTCTCCGCTCCCGTTCTTGAGGAGCCAGTAGAGCCCAGTGGCCCCTACGCAGAGCTGGTGGGTTGCCTCATGTACCTGATGACTTGCACTCGCCCAGATCTCGCATACCCTCTCAGCATCCTGGCTTGCTTTGTGGCTACAGGCAGACACCGACCTCAGCACTGGTCTGCCGCTAAGAGGGTTTTGCGTTATCTTGCAAGTACATCGGGCATGGGGTTAGTGCTAGGAGGACGCAGGCCAGTGGTCCTCACTGGGCACACAGACGCTTCTTGGGCAGACGACTCAGAGACTCTCAGGTCGTCTCAGGGCTACTGTTTTAGCCTTGGTTTGGGTGCTATCTCTTGGAGATCCACTCGCTCGTCGTCTATTGCTCAGTCCAGCTGTGAGGCTGAGATCTACGCCAGTGCCATGGCGGCACAGGAGCTCCGCTGGCTTACCTTCTTGCTCACAGACTTAGGTGAGCGGCCTAGCTCTGCCCCAGGCCTGTACGCTGACAACAGGGCCATGATTCTCCTGTGTCAGGAGCCTCGGCTTGAGGGCAGAGCGAAGCTTATCTTGCTACGGTACTTCCTCCTGCGCGAGCTACAGCAGCGTCGCCAGGTGCGCGTACTACTGATATCTTTACTAAGGCGCTTGCGCCTAAAGATCATCAGCGGCACTGTGTACAGCTTGGTCTTGTTCCTATCACTTCTCACTTGTTAGGACCCTGATTGTGTACTCTCTACTATATATATCTGTCTGACTGGCCTTGTGTCCTTAACTCCAGTGGCTGGACTAGTAGTGCCGCCCTGGCTTGCTTTAGTCTTGTTTGTACTCTTGCTGACTGGTCTCCGGACCCCTGCCTCAGTGGTTGGACTAGTAGTGCCACCCTGAGCTGTTTGCTTCTTGCTTAGCACCACCCCTTATCTAGCCTAGGGGGTGTGTCAACTTATACATATGTTCTATGTAGAAGTTATAGGCTAGACTAGGTGTGTGCTTCCAGTGAGTACAACCCAACAGGTATATGTTCTAGGTTCTCCTTCTAGTAATCATTCACGTATTCTAACAGATAGGTGCGTACTCTTAGAGCGTACAACCCATTGGCCAGGGTCCTTGCTAGGATTTCAGCCCGTCTGAAATTCAGACCGGGATGTTTCGCTTCGTTTGATCATCAGACGGAAATTTTGCAGCGGTCTGTGTCAACTTATACATATTAACTATGTAGAAGTTATAGGCTAGACTGAGGTATGCATCTAGTGAGTACAACCAACTAGTATTTGTTCTAGGTTTCCACTTCTAGTCAATCATTCAGTTCTTTCTTTAACATGGTATCACGCGTAGGTTAGAATCCCCCTCCTACCGCTTCCGCCCGTACCCTAGCTAGGCCCCCGCCCGCCCCCCCCCCCCCCCCCCCCCCCCCCCCCCTCCCCCCCCCCCCCCCCCCCCCCCCCCCCCCCCCCCCCCCCCCCCCCCCCCCCCCCCCCCCGCCCCCCCCCCCCCCCCCCCCCCCCCCCCCCCCTGGGGCCCCGTCGCGCCCCTCCTGGCCCCGTCGCGCCTCCTGGCCCCGTCGCGCCTCCTAGCCCGTCGCGCCCCTCCTGGCCCCGTTATGCCTCCTAGCCCCGTCGCGCCTCCTAGCCCCGTCACGCCCCTCCTGGGGCCCCGTCGCGCCTCCTAGCCCCGTCGCGCCCATCCTGGGCCCCATAGCGCCTCCTAGTGCCCCTCTTGGGCCCCGTCGTGCCTCCTAGCCCTGTCGCGCCCCTCCTGGGCCCCGTCGCGCCCTGCCTGGCCCCGTCGCGCTCGCTAGGCCCCGTCGCGCCCTGCCTGGCCCCGTCGGCGCTACCTGGCCCCTCCGCGCCTGCCTGGCCCTGCCGCGCCTGCCTGGCCCCGCCGCGCCTGCCTGGCCCCGCCGCGCCTGCCTGGCCCCGCCGCGCCTGCCTGGCCCCGCCGCGCTTGCCTGGCCCCGTCGCGCCTGCTTGGCCCCTCCGCGCCTGCCTGGCCCTATCGCGCCTGCCTGGCCCCGCCGCGCCTGCCTGGCCCCGCCGCGCCTGCCTGGCCCTGCCGCGCCTGCCTGACCTCGCCGCGCCTGCCTGGCCCCGCCGCACCTGCCTGGCCCCGCCGCGCCTGCCTGGCCCCACCACGCCAGCCTGGCCCCGCCGCACCTGCCTGGCCCCTCCGCGCCTGCCTGGCCCTCCGCTCCTGCCTGGCCCCGCCGCGCCTGCCGGGCCCCGCCGCGCCTCCCTAGCCCCGCTGCGCCTGCCTGGCCCCGCTGCGCCTGCGTGGCCCCGCCGCGCCTGCCTGCCCCTCCGCGCCTGCCTGGCCCCGCCGCATCTGCCTGGCCTCTCCCACTGCCCGCCCGGTCCATCTTCGTGTCTGCTCGTCCTGCCGTGCCACCTAAAGCTCCGTCTACTCTGCTCGCAAGTGCTGGGGCGCCTCGCGGCCGCCGTGCTGCAGAGTGCTGCCGCCGTGTCCCTGCGTCGCTGTGTTCCTGTGGAGCTGTGCCGCTGACCCTGCACAATGGCTGACTTCGTGCTCCGACTGGACGCCGAGGGCCATGCGGTTGACTTCGCGCGTGGCTCTCCGATCTCAGTCGCCACCTTACAGGTCAGCGCCAGGATGGCCACTCTTTGGTTGTCCATGTCGATGGCTTGCTCCCCCGCCCCCCTGCCCCTGATCCATCCCTGCTGATCCCTCCTCTGATGACCGTGAGGCCTTCTCTACCGCTGCGCTTGCCTGTGCGGTCTGGGACTCCCGCGATGCAGTAGCTCAGGTTGCTATTAGTCACGCCCTCCCTGTGTCTGAGCGCTCGCGTTTTGCTACTGTTGAGACGGCCAAAGCTTACTTAGACGCCGTTATTGCTCGCTATTCCACACCCGCGTCTGCTTCTGCTGGCCGCTTGCTCTTCCCCATGCTGTTCCCAGACCTTGCAGCCTTCCCTACCGTCGCAGACTTTGCCACTCACCTGCGTGCCCTAGAGACCCGCTATCGCACTGCCAGCACTGCTGCCCAGCTCACTGCGCTCCCCACCCCCCCTTTCTGCATGACGCTCTATTTTATCACCATGCGCAGCCAGACCGCCACGCTAGTGCTCGCGATCGCTTCCTTAGCCAGCACCCGGGTGACCTCACCCTCACCGCCTTTGTCGACACCCTCACCGAGATCGAGACTCGTCAGCGTACTATCGCTCAGTCGAGCGGTGCGCCGGCAGTCTCTATCTTTCACGGCTGTGCCCCTCCCAGTGCACGTTCACTGACGTTTCGGCTGCGGTCGCCACGGCGACCCTCTCACCGAGATGGCTGCTGCGGTCCACCCGCAGCAGCGCTCGCGCCGCGGTGGCTGTGGTCGCAAGGGAGGTAGGGGTGGTGGCGCAGGTGGTGGTGACGGTAGTCCGCCTGCGGGGACTACCACTGGTGGGCAGGAGCAGCAGCCCCAGCCGCAGCAGGAGCAGCCCCAGCCGCAGCCGCTGCCCCAGCAGCAGCCGCCGTCCCAGCTGCAGTCGCCGCAGCCGTGGGCCGTCTTCCACCTGGCTGGCCCGGCACCTCCGGAGGTAGTGGCCGTGGTGGCGGCCCGCGCAGCTTGGCGTCTATCGGCGGTTTCGATGCAATCACCTGCCAGTACCAGCTTCATATCGGGTCTCTTCGCGGCACTCTGTGCCGCCGCCCGCACCTGACCGCCCGCTGTTTCCGCCGCCTCGACGATCTCTTTTGTCGTCGCTTTGGCCCGGCCCCGGACCTCCCTGATTGGCACAGCCTGCTCCGCCAGGGCGTGCCGATCTCTGAGTTTGACGTGGATCAGATAGGTGCTGCTTTGCATGCTTTGTATTCTGACGCTTCTAGTGTTGCTGGATCTTATTACCCTGTGTACTCTAGTTTAGGTGTTGCACCATTGTGTAGGTTAGCCTCTCCTGCTGCGTCAGGCGTAGGACTGCCTAGCTTGCCTAGTCTAGTCGCTGCACCGGCTCCGTCCCCGGCCTCCGCCACTGCTTCGCTGTCCTTCACTCTCGACTCCGGTGCTTCTGCCTGCTTCTTCCACGACCGTTCCACGCTCACGCCGCTTGCTGCGCCTGCTGTTGTCTCTCTCGCTGACCCCTCTGCGGGTCCTGTCGTCGCTCGCAGTTCTACGTCCCTTCCCTGTCCAGCAGTTCCCTCGGGCTCCCTTACAGGCCTCCACGTTCCCTCGTTCTCGAGGAACCTCGTTGGTGTCGGCTGTCTCCAGGACCTCGGCGTCACCACCACGTTCCCCGGGCACGAGCGGTTCGCTGTCTGTTCTGAGGTTCCCCTCTTGCGACGTTCCCCCGGGACCCGGTGTCCGGTCTGTTTACCCTAGACACTGCTTCCCCCCCGGTTGGTGCGTCCTCCCAGGTCGATGACTACACGCGCTACACCACGGTGTTTCCCCTGGAGTGGAAGGCCGACGTGCCTGACATTCTTCTCCCGTGGGTTGTGGCTGCACGTCTCCACCGCGGTCTCCCCATGTTGTGTCTCCACTCTGACCGTGGCGGCGAGTTCGCCTCTGGTCGGCTTGGACAGTTCTGTCGTGCAGAGGGCATCACCCAGTCGTACACCTTGCCGGACTCCCCACAGCAGAATGGGGTTGCTGAGCGCCGCATCGGCTTGATCATAGAGGTCGCCCGTACCTCCATGATTCACGCCGATGCCCCCCATTTTCTGTGGCCGTTCGCTGTTCGCTACGCTACTCACCAGCTTAACTTGTGGCCACGCTCTCAGCGGCCGCAGGTTTCGCCGACCCTCCTTTGGACCAGGTCCCCCGGTGACGCGTCTGCATTCCACGTCTGGGGCTGCCTTGCTCACGTTCGTGCCTCTAGCACGGACAAGCTCACTGCCTGCACTGTCCCCTGTGTCTTCCTCAATTTTCCCCTGGACTCGTCTGACTGGCTTTTCTACCACCCCCCGTCTCACCGCTTCCTCCACTCTCGTGACGTCACCTTTGACGAGTCTGTCTCCTTCTACCGCCGCTTCCCTCACCGAGGTCTCCCGGTTGCCCCGCCCCTGTTCCTGGCTCCCTCTCCCCCGGTAGCCCTAGCTCCTCTCCCACCTCGTCCTGCCCCGTCTGGTGTCTCTCACGTTACTCCCCTCCCGTCGGTTGTCCCCGTTGAGGAGTCTGCTGACTCTGGTGGTCCCCCCGGCCCGTCCCTGCCGCGTCCCCTTCCCCGGTGTCTCCACCTTCCCTGCCGCAGTCACCGCCGCCATCGCAGTCGCAGTCACCGCCACCGCCGCAGCCGCCGCTGCCGTCGTTGGCCTCTTGGGGTGCTGGCGTTGAGGAGGGTGTTCGTCCTGCGGCTTCTGGGGGTGCCGCTGGAGTTGGAGGGGGTTCTTGCTCTGGGGGTGTTGGTTCTGGGGGTGCTGCTGTTGAGGGTTCCGCCGACGGTCGTCCTGCCTCTGCCGGTCCGAGGGTTCCGGCCCACCTGTCGCAGCAGCCGCAGCAGCCGTCGCCGCCGGTCTCCGCTCTCCGCCTGCTCGGCCTTCCCTCCCCGGACCGCGCGCCGGTGTCTCCCCCACAGACTGCTGACCTTCCTGTCTACGGTCCTGTGTTCCGCTGCCGGACTCGTCTCCGGCCCGTCTTCCTCCTCGTTCCCCTCCTGTGCCCCTCCGCTGTCCCCTGACCCTACACCTTCGTCTCACGCTTGGGCTCGCCGTCCCTCCCGTGCTAGAGGACAGGCAGTACGAGCTTGCTTTCCTTTCCGAGGCTGCTCCCCATCTCTGCTCCATGCTGTTTGTCCCTGAGGGTGACCCAGACGCCTTCGACATCCCGACCCCTCGCACTTACGCTGAGTCTACCTTGGGACCTTGGGCCTCTCAGTAGATAGTTGCCATGGAGCAGGAGATGGCATCTTGGAGGTCCACCGGCACTTATGTCGACGCAGTTCCCCCGCCTGGGGTGAATGTAGTCGATGGTCGGTGGCTCTTCAAGGTGAAGCGCCCCCTGGAGAGCCGCCTGTCTTCAAGGCGCGCTACGTGGCCAGAGGTTTCAGTCAGCGAGAGGGGGTTGACTTCTTCCAGACCTTCGCCTCGACCCCGAAGATTACCACTCTTCGGGCGCTGCTACACGTAGCAGCACAGCGCGACAACGAGCTTCACTACCTTGACTTCTCTACTGCCTTTCTTCAGGGCAGCCTACACGAGCAGGTCTACCTGCGCCGACCACAGGGCTTCACTTGTACCTTCCCCCCTGGGACCCAGTGGCTTCTCAGGCGCCCGGTCTACGGCCTGCGTCAGGCTCCTCGCGAGTGGCACGACACGCTGCGGGCCACGTTAGCAGACCTGCAATTCTTTCTGTCCTCTGCTGACCCCTCGCTGTTTGTGCGTTCCGGCCAGACTCCGTTCTACATCCTTGTCTACGTAGACGATCTGGTCTTCGCTACTGCTGACAGGGACGCACTGGCCTCTGTGAAGGCCGAGCTGCTGAAGAGACACACCTGCACTGACCTTGGAGAGCTGCGTCGCTATCTTGGCCTGCAGATCTCTAGGGACAGAGCAGCACGCACCATCACTCTGACAAAGTCACACTTGGTGCGTCAGGTCCTTCAGAGGTTCGGTCTTCAGTTCTCCTCCGCACAGCCCACACCTCTACCTATAGACCATGGGCTCTCCGCTCCCGTTCCTGAGGAGCCAGTAGAGCCCAGTGGCCCCTACGCAGAGGTGGTGGGTTGCGTCATGTACCTGATGATTTGCACTCGCCTAGATCTCACATACCCTCTCAGCATCCTGGCTCGCTTTGTGGCTACAGGCAGACACCGACCTCAGCACTGGTCTGCCGCTAAGAGGGTTTTGCGTTATCTTGCAAGTACATCGGGCATGGGGTTAGTGCTAGGAGGACGCAGGCCAGTGGTCCTTACTGGGCACACAGACGCTTCTTGGGCCGACGACTCTGAGACGCTCAGGTCGTCGCAGGGCTACTGTTTTAGCCGTGGTTTGGGTGCTATCTTTTGGAGATCCACTCGCTCGTCGTCTGTGGCTCAGTCTAGCTGTAAGGCTGAGATCTACGCTGGTGCTATGGCGGCACAGGAGCTCCGCTGGCTGACCTTCTTGCTCACAGACTTAGGTGAGCGGCCTTGCTCTGCCGCGGTCCTGTACGCTGACAACAGGGCCATGATACTCCTGTGTCATGAGCCTTGGCTTGAGGGCAAAGCGAAGCATATCCAGCTGCGGTACTTCCTCCTGCGCGAGCTACAGCAGTGCCGCCAGGCCCGCGTAGTTCACTTGGCCTCAGGTGCCAACACAGCTGATATCTTTACTAAGGCGCTTGCGCCTAAAGATCATCAGCGGCACTGTGTACAGCTTGGTCTTGTTCTTGTAGCTACTCACCTGTTAGGATCCTGATTGTGTACTCTCTATTATATATGCCTGTCAGACTGGCCTTGTGGCCTTACCTCTAGTGGCTGGACTAGTAGTGCCGCCCTGGCTTGCTTTAGTTTTGTTTGTATTCTTGCTGACTGGTCTCCAAACCCCTGCCTCAGTGGTTGAACTAGTAGTGCCACCCTGAGCTGTTTGCTTCTTGCTTAGCTTCACCCCTTGTCTAGCCTAGGGGGTGTGTCAACTTATACATATTAGCTATGTAGAAGTTATAGGCTAGACTGAGGTATGCTTCTAGTGAGTACAACCAACTTGTATTTGTTCAAGGTTTCCACTTCTAGTCAATCATTCAGTTCTTACTTTAACAGTCTGAACTTCTAGACGAAACAGATTGAGACGTCTGAAATTTCAGACGGAAAATTACGCTACATCACACTTAATTTTGCCTTGGAATCTCCACGCAGTACTGACTTTCTGCCGAGTTCCTGAACTTAGGCGATGCAACTTAGTTTGTACAAAGTGGTTCGAGCGAGTGCGCGTGGGAGGCAAAAAGAACTGGGGGGTGTGAGAATCAAATTTGCAAAGGCGGGAGGGAAATCGGCGCCATCCAGGTGGGAATTTTGCGAAGGCTCAATGGGCGCCCTCGCACACACAGGCCCCCCGCAGACAAAGCCTACAGCGCACATCGGCAAAAAAAAATTCACACCGCCTCCAGCACAAACTGGGAGGTAATTTTTGTGAAGGGCCAGTCATTTCCCTCACAGCCCCCAGCACAGCATACACTGGCCTCTGATTTTGGTGAAGGGTCAGATAGCACCCTCACGGAGACCCCTGTTGAAATCTGAACTAGGAAGAAAAGAGGAGGCCGCTATGAAATGGCGGCCAAGGGTTTAGCTAGGAGAGTATGCGAGAGTGTCGAGAGAAAAGAGAAATAGATTAGGAAGAGAGAGAGTACAAGGAGGGGTTTGTACCCTCTACAGTAAGGTTTGGTAACCTACCAAGCCTAACAATTATATATAATATAATTTGAACACACCCCCTAGGCTTGGTAGTGGCCAGCCCACACAACCCACACACACACCCCCTAACCCCGGACACCCTCATTCTCGTGAGCAGCCGGGTATCGACCCCTCGTGCTAGGCTATGACACCCCCGGTCGAGAGGCAGCTGGCCGCATCTGGGCGGCCTCAATGACGACAGCGGCGGAGCTCGTGCTCAAGGCGGCTGTGTCGATGAGGACAGGCGGCGACTGCGGCGGCTGAGGGCTCTCGGCGGTGTGGCACGGGCTGGCGACGACGGAGCCGAAGACAGCAGCTACGGCAGGAGGAGGAGGAGATGCAGGGGAGGGAGAGGTGGTGGGGCTGCTGTGGTGGGGCTGCAGGACTTCAGCGCGGCGCCATAGGCGCGGCGCTTACTGGCGGGAGGAGGAGGCGGGACGGGGCCCAGGAGGGGCGCGACTGGGCTAGGAGGCACGGCAGGGCCCAGGAGGGGCGCGACTGGGCTAGGAGGCACGGCAGGGCCCAGGAGGGGCGCGACGGGGAGGTAGAACGGCGGAGCCGCCACGTCAGGGCGGCATGCCCAGCACGGCTGCTCGACGTGGCAGCCATGCGACATGGCCGCCACGGGGGCACGGCAGGAGCGACGAACGCACGAGAACGCAGCGGAACGCACGGAGGGGAGCAGGCCCAGGAAGGGCATCCGCTCTCGATACCATGTTGAAATCTGAACTAGGAAGAAAAGAGGAGGCTAACAAAATTGAGAAGATGGATAATAGATAGAGAGTACACACAGATATACCTAAGTGTTGTACTCTCTAAGAGGCGACCCTATACAGTCTATACAAACATGACAAATACACATGTTTGACACACCCCCTGGACTGCATAGGGGAATGCCCTAAACAAACAGCTCAGGGCGGCACTACTAGTCCAACCTCTGAGACAAGGGTCTGAGAGACCAGTCAGAAGGAGTACAAACAAGGCAAGAACAAGAGCAGGGCGGCACTACTAGTCCAGCTACTGAGAGAGGACACAAGTCCAGTCTAAGTATACGTATAAAGGACAGTACAAAGTCAAGGTCCTAGCAAGTGAGAGGCTACAGGAACTAGACCAAGCTGTACACAGTGCCGCTGATGATCTTTAGGCGCAAGCGCCTTCGTAAAGATATCAGCCGTATTGGCACCTGAGGCCAAGTGTACTACGCGAGCCTGACGTCGCTGCTGTAGCTCACGCAGGAGGAAGTACCGCAGCTGAATGTGCTTCGCTCTGCCCTCGAGTCGAGGCTCCTGACACAGGAGGATCATGGCCCTGTTGTCAGCGAACAGGACCGGATCAGGACCCTCTTAGCGGCAGACCAGTGCTGCGGTCGGTGCCTGCCTGTGGCCACAAAACGAGCCAGGATGCTGAGAGGGTATGCGAGATCTGGGCGAGTGCAAGTCATCAGGTACATGAGGCAACCCACCAGCTCTGCGTAGGGGCCGCTGGGCTCTACCAACTCCTCAGACACTGGAGCGGAGAGTCTGTGGTCTACAGGCAGAGGGGTGGGCTGTGCAGAGGAGAACTGAAGGCTGAACCTCTGAAGGACCTGGCGCACCAAGTGTGACTGAGTCAGGGTGATGGTGCACGCAGCTCTGTCCCTGGAGATTTGCAAGCCAAGGTAACGGCGCAGTTCTCCAAGGTCAGTGCACATGTGTCTCTTCAGCAGCTCTGCCTTCACGGAGGCCAGTGCGTCCCTGTCAGCTGTGGCAAAGACCAGGTCGTCGACGTAAACAAGGATGTAGAACGGAGTCTGGCCAGCACGAACGAAGAGTGAAGGGTCTGCGGAAGACGGAAAGAACTGCAGGTCAGCAAGCGTAGCACGGAGAGTGTCGTGCCACTCACGGGGAGCCTGGCGCAGGCCGTAGACGGGGCGCCGCAGGAGCCATTGGGTCCCAGGAGGGAAGGTGCCAGTGAAGCCCTGAGGGCGCCGCAGGTAGACCTGCTCGTGTAGGCTGCCCTGAAGGAAGGCAGTGGAGAAGTCGAGGGAGTGAAGCTCGTAGTCACGCTGAGCAGCTAGGTGTAACAGAACCCGAAGAGTAGTCATCTTCGGGGTCGGAGCGAAGGTCTGGAAGAAGTCCACCCCCTCGCGCTGACTGAAGCCTCTAGCCACATAGCGCGCCTTGAAGACAGGCGGCTCTCCAGGAGGGCGCTTCACCTTGAAGAGCCAGCGGCCATCGACTACGTTCACCCCAGGTGGGGGAACTGCGTCGACGAAGGTGCCGGTGGATCTCCAAGATGCCATCTCCTGCTCCATGGCAGCTATCCACTGCGAGGCCCAGGGTCCCGAAGTCGCCTCAGCGTAAGTGCGAGGGGTCGGGATGTCGAAAGCGTCTGGGTCACCCTCAGGGACTAGCAGCATGGAACAGAGATGGGGAGCAGCCTTGGAGAGGAAAGCAAGCTCGAACTGGCGGTCCTCCAGGACGTCACTGCCAAGGGCAGGAGCACCCCCGACAGACGGAGGACAGGCAGGGTCAGAGACCAGAGCGGAGGCGTAGTCAAGGCGGCGGGTAGAGGCGAAGTCAGCGACCGCAGCGACAAGAGCGTCAAGGCACGAGACCGGAACAGACGGGTCGGTAACGAGAGAGGCAAGGACCCGAGGAACAAGGGGACGAGCGGCACGAAGGTAGTCAGACAGCGGGGGGGGTGCAACAACAAGAGAGGACGGAGGAGGCGACGGCAGAAGGGGAGGACGAGACGGAAGGGAACGAAGCAATATAGGGTGGGAGTGCAAGACAGGCGAGGCAGGACGAGCGCGGGAGGGACGGTGAGACCAGACGTGCGACGGAGGAGTCGGGTCAGGAGACAGAGGAGGGGACACAGGAGGGGAACGAGGGGGGAGACGGGCCGGGGACGAGTCCGGCGGAGGGAAGACAGGGCCGTAGACAGGAAGAGGAGGAGACGGCCGGGGAGGAACCGACGCAGGGTCGGGGGACGGAAGGCTGAGCAGGCGAAGGGCTGACACCGGCGGGGACTGCTGCTGCGGCGGCACAACGGCGACACGGGGACCGCAAGCTGCTCCGCGGCTACCACCGGCACTCTCCACACCAGCACCCCCAGAGGGACCACCCCCAGGGCTACCGAGACGAGCACCCCCAGAGTCAACGAACGGGTGCTGCGACGGCGGCGGCGGCGGCGGCGGCGGCGGCGGCGGCGGCAGCGACAACGACGGCTGCAGCGGCGGCAGAGGCGGTGGAGGGGGGGACTGGGGAGGGGACGCTAGGGGAGGGGCGGCCGGCGAGGACTGAACAGGAGGGCCACCAGAGTCAGAAGACTCCTCAACCGGGTCCACCGACGGAAGGGGGGTGACGTGGGACACACCAGAGGGGGCGGGACGGGGAGGAGGAGGAGGAGGGGCAGGGACTACCGGGGAAGGAGTGACCAG